AAGTATTTTTTTTTTACCATTTTCTCTGCGGTAAGAAATTCCAACGTCCATATTATCATTAGTGGAAAACTGTTAGGACTGGAATTAAAATGACATGATGTCTAACAACGTTGAAACTTTTTTCTGCTTCTCGTACCATTAATACTGTTAATTTAGGATTAAGATAAAGTGCCCAATCCAAGTCACTCTTTGCTTCTTTAAAAGCTAAAAGAATGCGGGGGGGGGATTACAATCTTCAAAGTATAATTGTTTAAGATTGTGTCGGGTTTCATGAAAGTTTGCTATATAGTGCCATGGGCGTGCCTAAAGTATTTGGCATCTTGAGTAGATCATTCATTTAGCACCCCAACAACTAATTTTAAAATGTCAACATACGAAAAATATAGTATGTTAGCAAGTAAATTTTTAAACAGTACTGTGCTCTCATAAGCAAATTGGAAATAACTTTTACTTTAGCGAAGTTGTCATTTGCTTTGAAAATTTGTACCGGTATTTCAATTCTCCTAATGGCACCCCCCCCCCCTTGGCACAACCCCCCCCCTTTCTGGTTGTTGCCTGGGGCGGACCGCCCCACTCGCACCCACTGTTTAATGCTTATGTCAGTTGTTTACGTAGTTTTCAGGTTTAGTTATGACGCCATCGATAGCGTCAGCAGAGTGTGTTAAATAGATTGTTGGCTAATTGGCTAACAAAACAGGGTTATTCTTTCAATATAATGAAATCACATTATGTGCTACTTATCTGATGTACGGTGATATGAAAATTATGCATATAAGTTAGTCTTAATAACCAAACAACAATGTATTTACTTTCCTATCTCAAATCGCAAAGTCGAACATAATTATATAGCTTTGGAAATGTGTTGTTAACTTTGGGTTACATAAAAATGCACGTCCACTTCAAGAAGAAAAAGCATGAAAATAATTCCAAAAAAGGTAAATTATGATTCAATGTAAAGCTTAAGGTGAAAAGACTTTCATTTTGAAAAATACGAACTTCAAATCAGATTTTCAATAGAACTGAAATGCAGCATAGATGATATTATGGATGGCCAGTTCTGATAACACCTTCCCAGAGATGATATTCTGATAGGCCAGTTATGATACAAAGTTCCATAGATGATATTCGGGTAGGCCAGTTATGATACAAAGTCCAATAGATGATAATATGCTATGATACGTCATCCCAACTGAGTTATTGGCCAAGTGGTCTAAAGTGCTCACATTTACGGATCACTGCCATCTCACAACTGTCTGCGTGGGTTCAAGTAGCTTCTTGTAGGTCGCTGATTCTTTCCGGGGTTTTCCCATGATCTTCCTCCACCATTAATACTGGCCGCCATTTATAACATATCTTGTGCTGAGGAATAGCGTTAAACCCTACAACAACAACAACAACAACAACAACAACAACAACAACAACAACAAAATTATCATAGTTACTATGTAAACTCACAAATTATGTGATATGGAATTGTTACAACTGGAGTGTGTGTGATTTGGATTTTTAACGTCGCTTTAACAATTTTTATGCCGACCATTCCTAACACTAACCTCTTAATGCTGGGCGCCTAGCGAGGCAGCTGACAGTGCTATTTTTATAAGTCTTTCGTATGACTTGGCCGGGGTTCGAACCCGTGACCATCTGCATTTGAGGCGGTTCACTTTTGGTGAAATCAGGTCAGAGCCGCATGAGCGTTTCTGTCGTTCAAAGGTCCCTATTAAAATCTAGTTGTGTACATTGGTTTTGTGACTACAGGGTAAGTATTTATGATTGGAGACTGGTACAATACACAGCGGAATAAACAGGAAGGGACAGTTCCGTCATCGGCAGGTACCGTTTATGTTGCCATGTGGCTAATGTAATGCAAATTTACATGCGAAATGTGGTTCAAAACCATGATTTGATTGACCAAAAGCGGCGTAGTAAAAATAGTTCCCTGTATTAGCTAGTTGAATAGTATAGTTTTACGGCGTGAAATGCAGACGGTACGTTATGGAATGTTACTGAAGAGAAGCCATGCAGATGTGTGGTTGATATACAGTTGGAAAGTTGTGACATCTGTGGTCTTCTATTATTTAGAGTAAAATTGTTATAGAACGGATATACTGGACTTTCTAATTTACAATAAAAATTGTGTAGAAGTCTGGCCAGAACAAGAACAACATTTAGTCTCCTGTTTTGCGAAACATTTGACGGAAACCATTACAGGGTTTGACCAAACAAGATTGCTATGGATGTGAAAATGATCATCCCAGTCAAATTCGACACGATAACTCTGATGAGGATGATTGGGGTTTCATCTCAGAAGAAGCAGTGTTATACTAGTGTTATAAAGACGTACGTGATCATTATTTCCACCCATTAACTGCTATAGACATCCATCGCATCGCATAGGCTCAGACGATTACTTGACAGAGATTTTCAAGCAAAAAAGTAAAAAAAAGTTAGGATTGAACTGATGATTTAAAATTACTTGTGACAAAAAACAAAACAAAATGGATGCCTGGGAACTGTCATGTGCGTTTAAGATAAATTTCCTCATCTCATACCTAAAGACCATCAAGCTTATGTCATCAATACGGACAATAGTCATCTCCCAGGACCCGTCTACTTTCTTCACGATTTCCTGTTTTCTTCCTCCACGTGAAGGTCCATCTCGCGGCCAAGCGCCCTCTTAAAGGGACTGCCGCCCATCCTGGGGTCGCAAACAGTCGCAGAATGCCAAGGAGTGCAATACGCTACTATAATACCTAATCAGTCTACCTAGTCAGTCTACCAAGCGTCCACTCATTAACATGAGTAGAATCACAAAACTTCTTGAACTCAAAATGCACACGGAGTATACCAGGCGCATACTAAATGAACTGGCCATGAAGGCAGTCCGGGAATGTGCCAGGATAGAAGAGGAAGAGGGAAAAAAGGAAGAAAGAAGAGGAGAAAGAAAAGAAAAAATAGATTCTACCTCACCTGATGCTAAGGCATGTATGTGAGGTCAAACTATGGTGGGGACGACTCCACAGCCACTACCAGAAAAACGACGTCAACCACAGGCATGTTTTCGTAGAAGATATAGTGGTTTTGTTAGTATTAATGCGTTGTATTGTATAAAAAATTATTTTAGGTTGGTTCTCTAGTAAAAGAGGATGATTTTTCTTCGCGTCCGTGCAAAAGACATAAATTGGAACGTTCGACGATCGCGCCATTTAACATTGTATCAAAAATGGCTTTAAACACTATGGAAAATAAGACAAAATTGCAAGAGGTGGTGGTGGATACCAAGTATAAAAGAAGGAAATATTGGTTAAGATGCAGTATGTGGCTTCTAGCACACATTCATTGAACATGGAAATAAAGAATTTGAAGAATGGGAAAGAAAAACGATAGGAACTAATCAAACAAACAAAAGAAGAAAAGAAGGATGAGGAGGAAAAGGAACAAACCAGAGCTTACAATGCCAAGCTGGGAAAAAGAAGAGGAAAATAAGAAAATAAAAAATGAGGACATAAAGAAGAAGAAGAAGAAGAAGAAGAAGAAGAAGAAGAAGAAGAAGAAGAAGAAGAAGAAGAAGAAGAATGTAATGGATAAAAAAGGTGCTGGTGGAGAAAAAGAAGGAATGAGAGAAAATAGAAGAAAGCTAAACAGCTCTTCTCAGGGCCACTCCATTTCCTCGAAATGATATCTATTCTTTCTTGCCATATTTGTGTATTTATTTGTCTGTCTATGTCCATGTATATCTCCGTAGTATTTGTCCCTACCTAGACTTACGCGTGCATATTCAGGTCAACCCATTGCGACATTGTTACCAGTATTCCGCCCGACTGACGTCAGCCACTTGCAAAATTGCTGTCAGTGTTTAGTACCGGGACACATCTTCCCTATTCTATTCCCCCTTCGCTAGAATGGCCCACCTGTGTCAAAATTCCCCATGTTAAATTTCACCTTATCTTCAAAATGCCGGGACCCTGTCTGTAATGCTAATTCCCATTGTCGCTATAAATCTTGTCGCCATAGTGCCGTGACACCTTTTTAACAAAGGTGTTACATGCCGCCATATCGCCACCATATACTACTGTTAGACTCGCCATAAATTGCTGACCGTGAGGGATTGAATATGCTCTCTTTAGTGTATGAATTCAATTTCATTAGGACTTGCGCAGTTAAAGGTCAGAGCTAGATAGAGTACAATGCTAACGTAAGGTTAATAGCGATAAAAAAGAGTTGAGATAGACCAGGAAAAACTTTTAGGAAGCTGTGGGCCAATTGAAACATGAATCACAAAGTCATATTTTCCAGAATAATTATTAATAAAGATTTCTGAGAGCGGATTATTCTGACTTCTATGGGAGTAACAAAAGCGTTGACGGTTAAAGTAGTTACCATGATTGGCTAAGCTAAACGAAAGGTGTGTGTTCCCAGGCGGAATTCAGGTTTTTAAATTATCTCCATCGCGATATTCGTTTTCTACCGAGGGGAAAAGTCCGAGGAGCTCGATATCGGCAGAACTTAGATTTTCAGGACCAGTTTAGAATTGTTTTATTTTACGATATTTTAATAAATTATTACGTGTCTAGGCTCGTACAAAAGTAAAAAGGAAAATAGTGGAGTCAGCAAGCTTTAAAAATTTTAACAGAATAATTTATATCCATAAACAAAAGGTAAAATATGAGAAAGGACTTATAGCTTATAAATCTAATATCAAACTGATCTTAGAATTAATAATATCACTAAAAAGTTTTAAATGAATGTTCAAATCGCGATGTGTGTGATTTAGAATTTTAACGTAGCTTTAACGATTACTCAATCATATCAAAACGATGTCTGCAGTGTGGCAGTTTATAGTGATGTCTAGCACGAGGGTATCATGTCGCAGACATGTAGCATGATGTCCCACCCAGTCACATTATCCTGACACCAGGCTGACCAGTCCTAACACTAACCTCCTAATGCTGAGCGCCAAGCGAGGCAGCTGTTAGTACCATTTCTTAAAGTCTTGGTTATGACTCAGCCGGGGATTGAACCCACGACCTCCCGCACCTGAGGCGTACGCTCTAACCACTGGGCACTGGAACGGTGCTTAAATCCCGATGAAGTTATAAGATGGAAGACGATGACGTCTTCTGTAACCTGTTTAGTGTTACCTTGTCAACATTTCCTTGTTGAATCACTAAAATTAATATTTCGGCTTAAAAATTCCGAATAATTTCCAATAAATATCGTTGTCCAAGAATTCTGATGAAGAGCACTTATATATATGTTTTCCAGAGAAATTCATTACTAATTCCGAAAAATATATATAAAAATAATTTAACTACAAAAAACAAAAATACCTTTGAGCTCCGAAGGTATGAATTACAACTGACGGAAATCATAACGAAACACCAGTTTTAACCCGCATTTTTAGACCAGATGATGGGGTCAGGTGGTCACTTAGTTCAAACGGCGTAGTAACACCACAGGTCGGCTGTCAGGTACGCCATGGATGAATTTGATTCTACTGAACGAATCTATAAGATTGAATTTAAAAAAAAAAAGTTGTTTACATAGAACTGACACGCAAGCCAAGTATGACCTTGATTACGACCAATGATTTTCACTCTTGGAAAGAAATAAACCAGTTGTTTACCAGTTTTGAATCAAGGCAAGGAACTAGGTCAACTAAAATACAATGTAGCAATACTGGTTATTTACCAGATCAAAACATGTAATGAAATAAAAATAAAATAAAAAATGTAAACCTAGCATACAAGTAATTAAATTACATATACGTAACAACATATAAGTAATAAGGGTATCAATATTTATAGATTTAAAGTTTAAAAAATAACTATCCGAAGCAACAAGACACGTTACCAATGTTTTAATACACATTTCACTATTACTACAACATCACGACTTTCTATGAATCTTCTAGTTTCTCTTTTACTTTTACTACATTACCAAGCCTTTCTGCGAGTGTTGTTGTTCCACCATTCTATCATTACAGCATCAAGACTTTGTGTGACTGTTGCAGTGCCTATTCTACTATCATTACAACATTAATACTTTCTGCAAGTGCTGTAGTGCATATTTTACTATCACAACATCATCAAGACTTGCTACGAGTGTTTTAGTGCCTATTTTACTATCACTACAGCATCAAGACTTTCCGTGAGTATTGCACTTACTGTCACTACAGCATATATACACTTCTGTGACTGTTGTATTGCCTATTTTACTATCACTACAGCATTAAACTTCCTGCAACTGTTCCAGTGCCTATTTTACTATCACTACAGCATCAAGACTTTCCGTGAGTATTGCATTTACTGTCAATACTTCTGTGACTGTTGTATTGCCTATTTTACTATCACAACAGCATCAAGACTTGCAACAACTGTTTTAGTACATATTTTACTATTACAAATAACTGTTTTAAAAACTTATAAGGTAGTTGTGGTACACTATACAATTAATTTTATGGATCTCTGATATATGAGTCATATTCGACTGAGTGTAAATTATGACTTTAGTAGGGATTGCATTAACTTAATCCGGAAGTTCATTGCTAGCCATAATATTAACATATGTCAGTTGATGATAGAGGGCAACTCCAAACTTTAACACCTATAGAATAAGTTCGAGTTCAAATATAATTATTTGGACATGCTGTAAATAGATTAATATTGTATTATCCTGTATGATATACTAAACTACTGTGTCTTCTTATACTGTGTGAAAATGTAGTGAAAATATTTACTTCCAATAAAAGATAGAAACATTGCTACGAGGCTATGCTCTTAAAATAAGTAACAGTAAAGAGTGAAAAGCAACAAGCTTTGTAAAATTCAACAAATAATTTATTTCTCTAGAATTCAAAAGTGAAAATGAGGAAAATGAACTTACGGTATTGCAAATTAAATCCCAAAATAATCCAAGAATTACAGACACAAGTTCTAATACATTAAAGTCCTAAATAAAAATCAGCAGAAGTCCAGAATAAATCCGAAAACTGAAAGCGATATTGTGTCTACAGTAGTTTATAGAGTGTTGGTTTGTCCACAGTATTTTGTTGAATCACAGTAATATAATTTCAAGTATGAAAACACTATAAATTCCAGTAAATGTCTCTATCCAAGAATTTTATCAGGTCACTTATGTATTTCCAGAGAAAAAATCACTTGAATTCAATAATTTGAAGAAATAAAATTCAGTCCAAGTAGAAACAAAATATAATACAACTTCAAAAGTTATGTATCTTAAAACAAATCTTCTCAGTATCAAGACTATATAGTTCTCTACTTGACCTCACGGGTCAAAATTAGCATTTTCTAAAAAAACACAAAAAAATAATAAATTACCTCATGGAAATAACCTTCTGGAATGTTCATGATGTTTACAAAATAAAACCTATAGCCTGGATTATATAAAATACACTAAGGAAATTCCAAAACCTTGACCTAAACCTAGACCCAAATAAACATATTTACTTCTGTTAATATCGAGTCTAATTTTAAACGCATATAATACAATAATTTAGCTATATATTACTTGTTTACACAGAATAAAATAAAAAAGTCCATTTGAGTCAAGCTGACATTAAACTCAATTTTGGACAGGGCCAAGTTCAACATACAATGTCACATTACAAGAACATTTAATATAATATATATATATATATATATATATATATATATATATATATATATATATATATATATATATATATATATATATATATATATATATATATATATATATATATACACACACACACACACACACACACACACACACACACACACACACACACACACACAGATAGAGACAGAGAGACAGAGAGAATGTCTAACAATGTAGATTAAATAATTAAATATAAATAACAATATAACATAAAATTTGAGACATGGGCAAATGTAATGCATCTTAACAAAATATTTATTGTGCCGTCCATATACGAGTAGTTTTGTTTCACCATTCCCATCCATTTGTAGATATTTAGTTGTGTTGGGACACAAACGCGTATGTCTGTGTCAGGTTAGGGTGTGATGTCAGAGCGGGAATATCCTCATTGCTAAAAATAGAACCCGTTACCAGGAAAATCTCTAATAGGCTCAGATGCGCATACTGCAAAAAGCATGCAGTACTTATAAAAAAAGAGATATCTTTGCTTTGAATTATACGTCTACATCTCAGTACATAACTGGAGAAAAAACAGTTACTCTTGCTAATTCCCTCGCTGCTGATCCCGTATGGTTTTAGCAAATTCTAAGAAGACGCAGCTGGGACCCTATAAGGGTTTTAGTACAGTTACGAAACTAACGTCTCTCTACGATTGACTAACTTTATTTGACCGCCATTAGAGAAGAACCAAATCTAGTTTCTTTCAGTTTTCGCGATTAACCAAAACGATGACGGGAGTTGGACTTCCCAGACGAATTATCAAGGTGTGATAAGAATATTATAATGGAAACAAAATTTGTTCAGATTATTAGGCTGTACTAAGTAGAAATAATACATCTCAACTTTTTAAACGTCAAACATTTTGTGTTATACCGGAAACTGCATTGCAGATTGACATAACATTCTTTATTTTGTCTGAATTCGCTCTGGAATTTTTGGCAAAAGGTGAAATGTGACTGAGTCAGAGGGGTAACAGTTTCGCATTCTAGTAGATATCATTATTTGTATGGCGTTCCACTCGAGAAGCGGCTTACCTGCTTATAAGTAGATCAACACGTGTTAGACCACTGACAAAATGCTCGAGCGTTCCCAGAACTAATATTATTAGTACCGCAAGCTCGTGGACAGGGTACTAAAACGTTTAAGTACTTATCAATGGAACATCCGGGTGTGAATAATACCCGGCGCTTTTTCAGCATATTGTCAGAAAGTATGAAGAAAATAATATATTCATAAATCGACAAGTCTTCTTTGTAATACCAGTATTCATTTTTGCAGAATTTCACTGTAGAAACAGTAGTAAATTTGTGTTTATCGTCTTCACACAAAATTTACCCTTGGACCACCTGTTATATTAATCTATTTGCTTGTCATATACAGCCAATGTGGATCTGTGACAAAGCTTGCCAGTAGCTTCTCATGGGTCAGTGGTGCTTTCCAGGGTTTTCCTTGTTTCTTCCTCCACCATATATACTGGCCATGTACAGCCTATCTTGTGTTGAAAATTGGCATTAAACCCTACAACAAAAACAACTACTTGTCATATAGGGAACTTTGGAGATTCCCTGTATGATGTCAAAACTAAACTTTGGCAGAGCTCTGGATGGCTGAACCATTACCACCACAAAGGAAGATTATCTATATACCACCTTAGGTCATTGAATAGTCAGTGCTAATTGTATACCTAGTACTAATGTTTTGATGTTGGGTATGTAGTTTAAGTTATATATATTGCTGTTCTATTACATTGACTAATTTTCCTTATATAAATATAGTGTAATACAAACAATACTATCATACAGGTTAGAGAAATTGAATTTGTACTCTACCGAGTTTCGAACCCAGGTCTGCGAGTAAATGACATCCCTTTGCCTTGCCTGCACGCAACAACCCATATACCATCACGACTAAGCACACATCACCAAAAAATGATGGCACTGAATCGTTATATAAGCTCGTGCGTAGCAGACAAACTCGCATGATGACCTAGTAATTAATTAATTATATTAAAATAACATGGCCTTTACAGTTTTAGTATCAAGCAATTTGATATACCATAGCTATAATATTAACATATCAAATTATAATCTGTTGATGTGCAATAATACGCATATATATTGGAATTGCATGCTGTTAATTCTAAGCCTATAAATTATTGATGCATTAGCATCAGTTATCCTAGTTTTCTAAATGAATTTAACAGGAAAAACTATTTCGTTGCAATCCTTTCTGCTTTCGGTTCAAATGGCAATATGTGTAATAGCATGTGGTATAGTATAGTATGAATGCTGTATCAATTATCAATTAACTCTCCATTTTCTTTGTTGATTAAAGATTATAAGCATCAACAGCTGAAGAGAAAATTGTTTAATTAGCAACCCCAGTCAGCGCCTATTTCGTACAG